CCGGATTCCTTATCGGTCCCTCCCTTACTTCCAGCCGGCAACCCGGAAGGGTCGGTCTGCCCAGGCTTTAAGTGCCTTACGGTCTCCCTTTCCTTGGTACATACTTCCAGAGCACATGTCCTTTTCTGCTAGTTGGTGACATGGCAGTTCGGCTGGTGTGTCCCCCCTTCAAGAACCTGGTCGCTTAGCTCTCCAGTCTCAGTTTCCGGTTCCAAATTCAGTCTTCTTGTAGCACCATCAAAGATCACTGCTACATCATATAATATGTTTTGGACTTAGGTATTAGTATACTATTAAGCAGATTTTAAATAACTTTTTTTTAAGAATTTCTATTTTTAGCTAAAGCGTATATATTACTAAAATTAAAAGCTCAAATATTTGAAAGGTTTGTCAAGATTTTTAAGCTCATGTCAAAAGATATTTTTAGCAATATATAAATGTAGTATTTCAACTAGAAGTTTAGTAATATGTTATTTTAATAAATCAAATTTAAATTATATATTTAATAATAACTTTTTTATAAAATATGATTTATTTAAAATTCATTTTATTTAAATAGAACTTTAAATTTATTTCTTTTATATTTTTATATTTTATAAAAAATATTCTTAATACAATATAATCTTAAATTTTTTATTAATAAGTAAATAAATTATATAATTGTTCAAAGCATAATAAAGACTCTATAGTAAAGCAATAGATATAATTCTGTGTTGGGTTTTATCCACATAATTAATTATTAGCCAATTAACTACAGAGATCAACTTGAATTAGCCCGATAATTATTAGCTATTATTATTGGCTTCAAATAATAACAGTATTTGTTTTTTTAGTTTAACTTATAATTGTATTATATCAGTTACATGATTTGTCATACAGATTACAGAGTAAATTTTTTCATATAAAATTCGACTAATCGACATCTATATGAAAAAATTAATTTTTATAGTAAATTGCAACAGTAGGCCTTTTTTGATTACTATTTTCAAGGGCTTCCAAAAAGAAAACTGTAATTACAGCCATGTTTAGTGAATCACAGAAGTAAGTACTTTTCTACAATTGAATTTAAAACAAGGTAAACAGTAAATCTAAGAAATATTACGTTTGCAAAGTTGGTCTACTATTTCATTTTTATGCTACTTATAATGTAAGAAACCAAATTTTTTTTTCAATTTAAGCGTAGAGCCTATACACAAATACAAATCTTAAAAGCATAACCCCAATATTTTCTAAACTTTTTTTTGTTAGCTTTTCTTATAGTTTATTTACAATATAAGCTAATAGTTATCCAACTTACTTCAACTTTAACAGATTTAACCTATCTTAGCATTAAGAAAAGTATAAATGTTTATCCAAGTTTTCACATAATAGAGCCAATGCTACAAAGTGATAGTGAATTGGACGATTGCTCAACAAATACAATAATTATACAAGGTCTTTGAATGTTATACATGTTGTTGCTAAAATGGATTGCTAATTATAGTTCTGCATTTTTTAATATAGATTTTGTCTGCTCTTGGATTTTACCAGGGTTTCACCTTTTGTCTTTTACCAATTTTAGATTTCACCTTTCGTCACTATACAAAAAGTTTCATCTAACTATAGGTATAAGTGATTCTAATGAATTATTTATTAGTTTAGTATTAATAATAAATGCAATGTAGCTCTGCCTTTTTAATTTTATATTTCTCAATTTCTGATTTTAGGTTTTGCCTTTCATCAGAGAAATTTAGGATTTTACCAAAGGTTTGCTTTTTGTCTTTTGCCAGTTTTAGGTTTTATCTTTTGTCACCATGCAAAAAAGTTTCGCTAGACAACTATAGGTATTAGCAATTTAACTGGATCAGCTATTAATAGTGAATGTGAAAGGGTGATTTTTATTAATTATTAAAATTGCAGGATAATCATCCAGACGATGGTGAATGAGTTGATATTTTATTTTGCTAACTTTGTTGTAGTCGATGATTATTCGTTGGTAGTTTTCTAAATCTTTTTGGGCCTAGACCAGATTTTTCTTGGCTTGGTTTAATTGTTGAAGGCAAGTGTTTTCTTGGTAGTCTTGTTGAGTTAATTCAGTTAGTTTTTGCTTTTGTTGTGTGATTTTTTGTGGTAAGATAGCTTGGAGCCAGAATTTCAAGTTATAAAAGGTTTGGCTTTCGTATTATTCTTTGCTAATTTGGTTAGAAAAACTGCTTATGTAAAGAGCATAATTCTTCATGCTAATATCATCTTTGCTGAAGGCTTGTTGGTATTTGCAGCAAGAGAATTCAAAAATCCTGGCTTGAGTACTTGTCTCAAAATAATATAAGTATCAATTTTTGGTTATTATAAATATAGAATTTACTATAAAACTGATCTATTAACAAATTTGTAGATATTAATGGACCAAATAGAATATTCTAATTTGAGAAATAAAATAAACTATTTATCATTAAATTATATAGTATGATAGTAGCAAAGAAATAAATTCTAAGGCTGTTAATAATATATTATTTGATTCTATATCACATTCTATATACATTTTTTTATGGCTGTTTTTTATTACTTTTAATTTTGAGTGACATTGATGGGTTTTTTTTTAAAAAAAAATTTTTATGTTTAAAAATTTATGTAAATATCAATTAATAATTGTACACTGTTTGTATTTGTAGATTTTAAATTGATTAATTTAATAAATTTTTATTTAAAAACTCTTAAATATTTAAATAAAAATAATCATAAAAGCAAGAATAATAATTAAAATGATTGCTATAATGATAAATAAAAATATTATAAAAAATTTTAATACAAATTCGAACCAGTCTTGAAGTATAAATAGTAATCTAAATATTATAAACTTCGATTAATTGCACATTATGAAATAAATTTTTTTTGAAAAAAAAAATAAATAAATTACCAAGTACAAAAGACAAGCCAGAAGCAGAAAATATATCTATTCTTTCTTGTCATGTGGCAGTAATTATTGAATGAAATCTGTTTTGGATAACAATGAGGCAAATTAAACCAGTAAAAAATCATAATAATGATATCTAGACAAAGACGAAGTACTAAGCTTGGTCAAATATTAGGCAAAGATAGTTTAAGTAGGCTGGCTTAGTAAAATACACTTATCCTTACTTAAAAATAAGCAGAAAATCATATCTTTTTTTCATTGGCAGTTTCCAACTCTTAGAACTTTTTGAATTCAGGAATCCATGTGATTATTAGCACCAATTAGATCAACCCAAATTAATATATATTATATTAAAAGAATATCAACCTGCCTAAAGATCAATCTTTGAAGGCATTTGATTTGTCTGTTTATCATAAGGTCGCAAGTTATAATTGTAATGTTGTCTTGTGATCTTCATAGTAGAGATATTAATAGTTTAGTCTGGTTTAGTCTGGTCAATTTTGGTTCAAGTTTAGTCTAGTCTATTATAGTTTTCTGTTTTAAGACTTTCTAGTCTAGACTGATTCAGTCTTAAAACTTAGAGCAACCTAATTTTTTTTTAGGTTCAGACTAGTTTTAAGACTAACTTGGTCTATTAGTCTAAGACCGAACTACATAATATACCTACTCCATAGATCCTTAATCTGATTGATTTGTGAAAAAAAGTGTTAATAATAAAAACTTTTTTATCTAAGAC